GGGCGGGCAGGTGGCCTGGAGTCGGCCCCGAGCGCTGGTCGGGTGGGTGAGGTGCTCGGGGCTTTCACCTAGGTCCGGCAACGCGCCGCGCCGTTCGCTAAGGTCGTGTGAACCTTTTATCTTCCTTGGATAGCTGTAGCTTATAGTTTTGCTGTTTTTACTTCTCGCTTTATGCCCATAGACCATGTCTGCAAAAGAAAAGTCCAAGTTTGAAGATATGGCCAAGAGTGATAAAGCACGCTATGACAGGGAGATGAAAAATTACGTTCCTCCCAAAGGTGGAGAAAAGAAAGGAAAGAAGAAAGATCCCAATGCACCTAAAAGACCACCGTGAGTTTATTTTAAAAATTAACCGAACTGCCCCGCTTGGATTTTTTTTTCCCCCTTTTTGGTTTATTAACTGTTGCTTCCTTTCAGATCTGCCTTCTTCCTGTTTTGCTCTGAACATCGCCCAAAGATCAAAAGTGAACACCCAGGGCTGTCCATTGGAGATACTGCAAAAAAATTGGGGGAAATGTGGTCTGAGCAGTCAGCCAAAGATAAACAACCATATGAACAAAAAGCAGCTAAGTTAAAGGAGAAATATGAAAAGGTATATTGTTTGGCTTTTTAAAATTAGGCTAACATCAGATTCCTATTTCCTGAAGGATATTACAAGTAGATGTAAACCTAAGTCTTAAAAAGACAAGGGGGGAGCAAATATATTTTATTAGATGTATTAGAAATGTGAGATGTGTGGGAAGTAAATAAATGACTACTGGTAGTGAAAGTAGTGATACTGATCTAATAAGGTGGCTCTGATTTTGCCCTCATTAGCTTTCTAAAGCCTAAAATGCTCTCAAAACTGAGGAAGATCCCGAATACTTTTGGAGACAGCTGTCTGGGTTATTGGTCAATAAGTGTAGGTTGTTTACAAATAAGTGGTTTTCACAGTTGAGTGAGGACACCGGATGCTGATTTTATTTGACAATATTTCAGGATATTGCTGCGTACCGAGCCAAGGGCAAAAGTGAAGCAGGAAAGAAGGGTCCTGGCAGGCCAACAGGCTCAAAGAAGAAGAGTGAGCCAGAAGATGAGGAGGAGGAGGACGAAGAAGAAGAGGAGGAGGAGGAGGAAGAGGAGGAAGATGAAGAATAAGTGGCTGACCTGTAATGGCATGTGGAGTATATGTGTGCTCAGGCAATTGTTTTGCTAAGAATGTGAATTCAAGTGCAGCTCAACATTAGCTTCAGTATAAAAACTGTACAGATTTTTGTATAGCTGATAAAATTCTTTGTAGAAAAAATAGTTTTTTAAAAAATTCAGGTTGTAGCTTTTTGAGGAGCTACTACATACAGTTAGATTTTAAAGCTTTTGATGTTGAATGTTCCTAAATATTTAATGGTTTCATGTGTATGGTAGCACAGCAAATTTGCAGGAACTAGTACCAGTAAGTTTTGGGTTTTTTAGGATGTTGCATTTTGTGTTTTGTTTTTTTTAAAAAAAATTTGTAATAAAATTATGTATATTATTTCTATTGTCTTTGTTTTAATATGCTGAACTCTAGCTAGCTTTCCCTTAAAACACAAGGGGTCTGTCAACTTTTTAAAAATTTTTGTGTAGTAGTTCTTATGGCACAGTTGGTTTAGTAGTATTTGAGTGGAAAAAACCCAAACATAACCCATATTATCTAAAAACCAGATCCAGAACTCAATGAACTTCAAACATTTTTGCAGAATTTTAATTTTTGTCCTTGACATTTGTGTTCATTTATTAACTTGCTCCTTTAATTTTCTTTGACTTGAAGGATGTTGTCGTACAAGCATATATGTTGAAAAATTTAAAAATCATTAGTAATGTTAAATTTTGTGTTTGAAAGTTGAACTAGTTCAAAATAGATTTTGAATTATATCTCTTTTTTAAATGCTGGGTAACTAGCCTAAGAAAGTGTTTGAGATGATTGTGATAATCCCATATCTAATTTAGCTACATTTCGCTAGGATGGCATTTTAGAAATGCTTGAAGAAGCAGTTAACTTGTAAATTACAATTTTTGAATTATTAAAGGTTATTAGTGAAAGCTGATCATCTATAAATTAAATGTTTTCAGAAGAAATCTCAACAATTTTACAGTTAAATGTCACAATCTTGGTGGCCTATCAAATTTTAAGGTAGACATAAAGAGCATAAAAGAGCCTTTGTTGTCCTTTGCCATATTTGGAGATTGTTTAAATAAATTAGGTGTTAGCATAAGCACCAATAACAAAATATATCAAGATCTTAACATTTCAATGATTGCCCTCGTAATTAATCTAAGAACATCCATTCTTTGAAATCAAGTGTTGCTTTAAGATTTGAGATGGGTCCTGCCTTGTTCATGTTTTATATAAGGTCTCCAGGTCCCTCTGAAAAATAATTTAGCGAATTGTCAACAGTCAGGACTAGGTGACATCGATGTATAGATACATTGGGAAGCAGTGACAATAGTAATAGGTTCTGTTCCAGACCAGCCATTACTAGATGTGTTTATGAAAAGTTCTTTTAAAAAAATAGTTCATTTCTTAATGCACACAAACTGCTTCGTTCTTCCAGACTTATTCTGATAGTCCCAGGAATACAATGATTTATCCTTTGTAGGAAGATGTAAGAATAATTGTAAGTTAACTCTAATCTCATTTTAGAGATTATTAGTATAGAAGTAGCTGTGCCAAAGGGCATGTATATTTTAAAATTTACTAATAGCTAAAGCCTTTACAACTATGCTAAAAACTGCTCATCTTTATGCATCTGCCAAAGTTCTTAAGTGAAGCTAAACTATATACTACAGCAATGAATTTTTTGCAGTGCTTATTTCCTCGTTCAAAGGTAGTACTCAAGATTCTTGGTCTTCCAGTATATTAAAAAATGGCTTCTACTTTTAGTATTTTATAGCAAAGATATATTTGTGTATTCTGTAGTGTTTTGTGTCATTGGTCTTTTTATTAGTTTGGGGACATTATGCTAAGGAAAATGACCTTTCCCAACATGTAAATATTTTTATCTCATTTTTCTTTTGACATTCTTCATGGCACTTCTTGCAGAGTTCTCATTTTTAGGTAGGCAAATATATCAGTTCTTTCATGGCTTGGAAAGGTCTTTCCTACTCAAAAGTTTTAAAAATTGTTTAAAGTTTTTAATTGAACATTTGGTCCTGTAATTTAATTATAAAAAAGCACTAGGTTAGACTATTCTAAGTTTCCATATATATATATATATATATATCTCAAAAGCACTGCAGACTTGTTCAGGTAAGATTTACTGACAGGAAATGCAAAGACTGATACAAGTTGGAAATTGTTGAATGGTGAAATGAGCGTATAAGATGTCAATGAGTGCAGTGAAATTTAGTTTTGCATGGTGCTGTAGCCTGGTATCAGAAACTTCTACATGTATAGTTTGTAAACATTTAAAAGGGACAAAAGGAACGGTCTCATTGGATAGAGATGTACAGTATGTCTGGGTTTGACTCAGTCTCCCAAAGTTACAAGTGGAACCACAAATCTAGATTTTAAAAAATGTGAAGTCTGAATTTTAAATAATGGCAGTGAATTCAGATTTGAGGGTCAAATTATTTCTCTAGGTAACATTCACCAGTTGGCCACTTCGATAGTATTCTTAATTTTGTATGCTGCAGTGAACATAAAAATATCATTTCTTAGGCTTCAGTGGACCTCACTGTGCTCCTGGGCTGTACCTGTTAGTGGGCTTCATCCTTGGTATTACCACATCCATAGTGTACTGTCTCCAGAACACAGCTGGACTTTCATATTAAGAGGGCAGGAAAACAATTTTAGCACATCCAGCGTCAAAATTTAAAACTCCAAAAGGGCTCTGAGGGATTTAGCTCAGTGGCACTGGGCCTGCCTTGCAAGTGTGCAAGGTCCTGAATTAGATCCCTGGGATCTGGTAATGGGCGAAAAATAGTGTAAGATATGACAATCACTTTGGACAATGTCCTAGGTAAGGTGAGAGTAAACCACTATAATTTGTATCCATATTTATGCATTCTTTGATTTTCCACATTTTCCAAGAGAAAGATTTAGATAGCTTATACTAAGGAAAACATTAAAATATAAACATAAGCAAAAAGATTTTTAAAGAAGAGTGAAGTGAGCTTGCTTAGACTTGAGAATCACTTTAAAAGGGGCTTTGTTTCTTACTGGTTTGGTGATAACGGACAAGTCATGTTAACTTCTGTTTCAGTAAAACTAGAATTAAAGAACAGGTAATTAAGACCTTTTCATAGCAAGATATAGTACATGCTCAGTAAATAGCTAAAACTATATGCTTCTGTGTGTGTGTACACAGATACTGTAAGATTCATCTCAGATTTCAGTTGAGATTCTTAAGGTGGATAGAAAACATACATGGAAAACATGTTCTTTTGGGAGTTTTTCCTAGCACCAAGTAGAAATATCACCCATGGGATTTTGGGATATCAAGTATGGAAGTTGCATCTTCCAATATGAAAGTTGTGAATGCGGAAAAGGTACTTCTATTGTTTAAATATGAAACAGACTATATTTTTGTATTTATAAAAAGTTCTTTAGGAATTTCCTTTTTCACTTAACTGTATTAAGACTTTATGCACTCTGCAACATTTTATTGTGTGATTATACCATCGTTCATCCATTCCCGCTGATGGGCATTCAGATTGTTTAGGCTCTGCTATTGCAAATCACAGTGCTATAAAAATTCTGTGTAGATCTTCTGATAGTCAAGTGAGCTCACCCTTACTACTGTGCATCTCAGCAGTCTCAAGCTTCCACTTTGCTTGTTCAACTTAGCAGTATCAATAGTTTGCAACCAATTGCTACAACATGGTTAAGAAAAGTTCTCTTGAGTAAATAGACATGGTAATCAGGTTTACGAAGTAAACCACTGTAAACTACATTCTACATGTTTTGTGAATGGCATGAGGCAGAGATAAGTTTCTTATAGTTATCATTTCACCTCCAGTTTCTTTAACTTCTAAGCTTCGTTTCACTTGTAAAGTAGGGGTAATGATAACTGATATAAGAAACACATGCAAACACAGACAGCATTTATAGAGGCTTGAAGTGTAGCCGACTCATTCTTCTGATTAAAGACAGGTTTTAAGACTTTGAAACCAGACAATAATAGTTAACATTTATATTACCTTGACTGTGTGCCAGGAACTTTATGTAAGCACTTTATGCATGTTAACTCATTTAATCCTAATAATAACCCTATAAAATAGGCACTGTTATTTCCATTTTACTACTGAGAAAACTGGTACAGAGGTTAAATTAGTCATCCAAGGTCTCATGGCACCTTGCAGTGGGACAGGAATTGGACTACAGATAAGACTTTGGAGTCCATCACATTATTACACCATTTCATATGAGCAAAGTAACATTCCATTATAGAAAGTAAATAAAATAATGGTTAACCTAAAAAAAAAAGTAAGACGATTTGTGTTGCACTTCTGTTTAGATGTAGGACCCCAGGTCTGATTCAGTCTGAAAACTTGAAACATATCCACCTAAATTATAGGCATTTCAAAAACCTTAAAAATGAAGACTATAAAGCAATGCTGAAATCTGGCTTAGTCTTTCCTTTTATCTCTAAATTCTGGGAATAATAGTCCCCAGAACCAATCAAACTTTTGTCCATTTTCTTACAATAGATTTGTTTCTAATGAATAGCTTCATAGTGTTTAATTTTTTAAAAGTTCTTTCACATGGAATAATTTTCACATATCTTAACTATTGCCCTAATAGGTATCTGGCCCTGGTCAGATGTTACCTTTTCCATTGAATTATATGTGGATTTTCTTTACAATTGCATTGTCTAGAAATATTTTTTAAGATTTCTGTGAGTTGCCAGGCATGGTGGCACATGTTTATAATCCCAGTACTGGGAGGCTGAGGCAGGACTGCCATGAGTTGAAGGCCAGCCTGGGCTGCAAAGTGAGTTCAAGGCCAGGATGAAGTCATAATGAGACCCTGTTGCATCCAAAACAAAACAAAACAAAAATTTCTGTGAGCAACCATCTTAGGTAATAAGTGAGCCCCATTCAGTCTGGTGTTACGTCACTTGTCAAATTTCTTAGCTGCCACCGCAGTTGAAAGGTTTTCAAGTCAACAGTCATTTACTTGAATCTGTAAGTATCTTTTCTTAGGATGGTGTGTTTCGTACTATCAGGTCTTATAGATTGCTTCTAATTTCCTTAGAAATTAATTTTTCTTTGCTTGGCTCTCACTTGATCTGTTGAGTTGTGAAGAATTCTGATTGAAAGATATTTTTGCTTAAACACTGACAAAAAAGATATGTTATTGGGATTATATGTTTGTAGTTGGATAGGTAGCTTTAAAAAAATTGTTATACATGAACAACCAAAAGTACTATAAGAAACCTTTGTTTCTTTCCTACAGACAAGTAAATTCT